CTGTAGAAATATTGCAAACGCCACTGGGACAAGCAGACTTCCACAAACAGCAGTGCAGGGAGCCAATACCTTTTAGCTGACAGGCTTTCCACAACCTGGCCACACCCTGCTCAGCCAGCCATAGCATAGATACTCGGTAGAGTAGAGATCAGACTTTCTGAACATAGGATGCAAGACTTTCTCGGCCTTTCTCCTGTTCACGGGATTCTTTGTTCAAAATGTTTTCAGTCGAAGAAAATGATGCGAGTTATATAATGTCTGTTAGAAAGTGAGTTTTCCTTGCAAGGATCCTGTAATGGAACAAAGGGCCGAAGCCTAATCACCTAGCTCGTGCTGCCACTCCCACAGCAGTCACTGGGATTACACGTGTGCAACTGGCAAACGGGACTTGCTTCAAATGCATCACACTTCTGTATCCCCTCAATAAAAACACGTCTCCATGAACAGGTGTGAGCCCTTCTGGCCTGACTGTTACCTGGACACCGATGTAGTTCTGACCCGGTAATGCTGCCATTTAGACATCTAGGTACCTGATTACATCTGCACTTACACCCATTACCTTTTTCCATTGTTAATCATAAAACTGAAAAAGCCTGGATGTAAGTCTATACTATAAATGGCCATTTTACACAGGAATTGGTTTAATGGGTGTTTTGTAGCACTGTTCGCATACTCATGACGTTTAATGTATTAACTAGCTGAAAACCTTCATCTCATTTCTGCTACTTCCCTGTTATCTGCTCAGTAGCTGACAGAGAGACCGAGAGTTAGAACTGATCCATATAAGGTCTAGGCTTTGTTGATGGACATGCCAATAGGCATAGCTGACTTGCATAGTGAAAGAGGTGTTTGGTTTTCTTTGAATAAACACTGACACACATACACCCATTAGAACTTTGTAATTCTTTCTCAGCCTGCCATATTCCTACTGGACATCCCAGAACCCACTGAGCGCACGGCTTATTTTCCGAAGAAAGATGCACAGTCTTCGTGACAAACCAATTTTCCATTGCAATTGTGTCAGCATCTCTTCGTATCTCCCCAGCTCCCTTCTCTGCCTCACTTGCTGCATGCATCGTTTTCTGATGGCCAGCACCTCCAACCCCGATGTCATCTATGGATTACCTCCTGCCTGGACCAGCTGATCACAAATCTGTGCTGGCCAAAGCTCTTGAAATGCTGCTTTTTCTAAGTGGCATTTAGTTCCCCTGGCTCTGAGGGTTGCCTAAAAACTGTCACTGTATTAATTGGAATGAGCAATAAATGTAATCTCATTTCACCAGCGAGGAGAAGGTCACACTGCACGTCCCTTCACCAGCCCTGCCCGTAGCTGACTCACCACAAGATAAACACTCTTACCGTTCACAGATAGGCTGTATAAGTACAAGTCACAGTGGCTACTGGTGAACTTCCAGTGCAGAATCAGTGCCATTTCAGGAACACCAGAGGACGAATTTCCAAGTCCCCTTTCACCCTGCTGCTGATGTTACCCAGCTGAAAAAGGCAAAGCTGGAGAAGGGTCTGTGAGTGTGCCCTGGACATGAGTAACTCTGGGATCAGAGTCCGGCCTGGTCTCAGCATGTGTGTAAGGAGAGAGCAGGTACTCTGACTCTCTCTCTCTCCAGGACTTGCACACCCATGACAAGCACCGTGTCTTTATGGATTAAAGTCCCATCCCCCTTCCCTGACAGATGCATCTGAGAACATAAGCCCATCAAACGGCTGGGGATGCTCTGAATGCCACGCTTGAAACACTGTGGAGTGGTGTAAAAACCTGCCATGTCCTCAGGTCATCCCTGAGGTCTTTAATTATTGAGAGCTCATAGCTACCCCCCCCCCACTGCCTGCACAGCTTCCTCCACTGTGCTGTACTCCTGTCAACCTCTGCTTCATGAATAAAACAACCCTTTGTACTCGCCAGGCAGCCCTAGCGCTGCTCTCGTTTGGGAAGGCGGAAAGGAGTCACTCTTTCCCCCTGTCCCCTACATTGCTGCTCTCACAGCATTTCCTGCTCTCCATGGTCCTGCGTTGTCTTGACCCTTTCTTGTACCAGGGAGAATATTCTCACCTAATATCTGGTCTGCTCTTTTTATCTACTGCCCCCACCCCAACATATCTTGTGCTGGGCAATAACCTCTTTATAACATGAGACTCACAAGGCTGAATCAAAATGCACCCTGGGTGTAACAGCCTCTGGTTCAATGGAGTTACACGTAGGTGGTGGGTATAAGAGGCCAGGGAAAGCCAAACCTCCCCACCAGCCTCATCCTCTTCTCCTGAGGCTCACCCTCTTCCCCTCCCTATTCCTTCCACATGGGAGCCTCATGGGAGGGGGTGAAGAGGTAAGTGTGAGCGGGCAGGTGGGTGAGCAGGGGATCCGGGGGTGGGGGCAAAGGGGCACATCAGCTGGCTTGCGGGTGGGCGAACCGGGGTGAAGAGGCACGAGCGGGGGGGGAAGCAGGGGGTGATGAGATGTGCACGTGATTGGGGGGACCTCGGGGAGGGTGAGAAGAGGCATGGTCATGGGGTGCCTCTGGGAGGGGGTGGAAAGGGGTTGGGCGGAGCATGGGCAGGGCTTCTGGGGGAGGAGGCTGAGTGGGGGCGGGTTTCGGGGCAGGGCCCCGGTCCAGGTGCGCACCATCTCCCCAAATGGAGGAGTCACATGCTGCCCATGGAGTTACAGCAGGAATGAATTTGCCCTTTTCTGACTATGGCTGTAGAATATGCTACTTTTTTATTTTAATTTATTTTTAGGCTATGAGATGTCTCTGAGTTAGCCATTGGTTTACAAAGATCAGAAGCTTTTCCCCCATCTTTTGCTCTGTTTCCCCCCTTGGTCTAGAAGGTTTGACCACGCTACTGCCATGTTGCTTATGGTCTAAGTAGGAGGGATAAAATCTCAGCATATGAGAGCTTCTGGAGACTCTTTTGCCAATGCATTATTTCTTTGAGAAGGCATTCTTTAAGCACAACATCCTTTACATACGTAGTTCAGCTCCTACATGCAGAATCCTGTCTCTCTTGCTATCTCAGCAGGACAGTCTGCTGAGGTCTGGTTCAATTCAGTAGCCTAGCGTGGGCATCTGCCACTTCCTTCAGACAGAAGGATAAGTTGATGTCATGATGTATGGAATCAAAGACTGTCTTAAACCAAGTTGGGTGTATTATAGAATCTACACCTACAGACTTCCACCCAGCTTGAGTTGCAGCTTTGTCTCCCCTTTTTATTGGGGAATACTCACTTGTCGGCTGCACAAGAGAGTGGCTGAATAACATACTGCAAGTAAACGTACATCATTACAATCGGCAGCCATTTAAAAACCTGAACCAGTGAGAGCCTGGAAAGAGTGTTGAACGGAACTTTGTCATGCCGGATATGGGACTACAGCCAACTTCAGGGACCGAGGCTGGAACTCAGACTAACACTATGGAGATTTCAGAGCTGTCCATTCCAGCTCTGTCATCTGTTAGTGAGATCTCAAAGCTTCCAGCAATTTTCAGTCCAGCCACCGCTCTCCAGGGTAAATGCCATCACCTCATACACCTTCGAAGATAGAGATGTATTGTTTTTCCCCAAGGGAGGGGGATCTGTGTGAGCAATTATCTCTCCAGGATGGATTCTTTTCCTTCATCCTTTAATCTCTCCCATCTCTGTGGGGAAGGGGTCAGTGCTGACAGGGGGTGCCTAGGAATGGAAGAGCGTGACGAGATATTTTTAATGTAGTGGCTGTCACAACACCAAACACTTTTCATCTTGATTGCCTGCCCTCTGCATGCTCATACAGACAGATAAAACGAAGCCCACTGTGAACTATGAGAGATGTGAAACAGTTACAGATAGGTTGCTAGCCCTTACCTAGTGCTATGGGTTTAACCAAGTGGCCAGCTCTGAAGTAGTGTCCTGTCTCTGGAGTCCTATATTTTAATTTAAAAATTGTTATGACAGTTCATGGTTGCCTGCTGTATGCAGTCTGTGGAGGCCTTTCTGTTCTGGGGCTAGGGCTAGGAAGGGGAGTTTGGTGCCCAGCTTGCATGCTGAGATTGTACTAATGGATGGAAGGCTCGGGGTGCAGGAGCTCTGTTGTATCCCAGCAGCGTTCCAGCCCCCATGATGCTTCTCTTTTAGTTGCCAGGTTATTGCCATGTGTTTAAAATTACATTTAAATACTGACTGGTTAAAGGAGCCAAATAGCAAGGATCATATTAAGATTTTAAGGCAGCTTCTTCCATCAGTGTTATACCAGAGTAACCACACACAAGCCAAGGGAGAAAGCAAAGGTGTGGCAGTGCACATGCACGCACAAACCCCACGTGGACCAACTAGTGCAGATCAGCATTGCTCCATTTTTTTTTTTTAACACCAGCTGAGGGATCTGGCCCTGTATGGCCAGGATCTAGCCAAGTGATAAATTTCAGAGCCATGTAGCAGAGAAATTTTATCCTGCGCATTTTGACTGCTTCACCTGCCAACTGATCTACCCCACCTCCCAGCATTGCTCTAACATTCCAAACTCCCAAGCAGCACTAAACCGCTGCTCTCCTTGTGGCAATTCATTAGACTGGTGTAAACAGCCTAACTCCACTACTTTCAGTGGAGTTAGTCCAGGTTTACACTGACAGGAGAATTTGGTTGGAGAACGGTAGCTAGAATTTGGTTGTCACAACAGTAGCTAGAACTAAAATACCCTCCTGCATCCTGAGCGGTATTTATGTATTTGGTGCAACGTGACGATGACATTAGGCGAAGTCCTGATTACATCAAAATGCTTTTGCTTAGTGGTCTGGCTTCGTTACATCTCAAAGTCCAAACGTGACCGTTCTAGTCTAGCAGCGCTTGACTGCTGCATGGGGAATTGGAAAGCATTGTATAAATAAGTTAGCTTCGGGGCCTGCAGCGCTTCAGATAGACAAACCGGGTTTTAATGATGCTTTACAGTAATTGGCGACTACAAAATGGAGTCACTTTTCCCCTCCCCCGGCCCCTCTCTCTCTCCTTGCAGGTGTTTCTGAAAAGTGATCGTGTGGCCCGGATGGTGCAGAGCGGGGGTTGCTCTGCAAATGACTCCCGAGAAGTCTTCAAGAAGCACATTGAGAAGAGGGTGCGCAGCCTGCCCGAGATCGACGGCCTCAGCAAGGAAACGGTCCTCAGCTCTTGGATGGCAAAATTCGATGCTATTTACCGTGGCGAAGAGGATCCGCGCAAACAGCAGGCCAGGATGACTGCCAGTGCTGCCTCGGAGCTGATCCTCAGCAAGGAACAGCTGTACGAAATGTTCCAGAACATCTTGGGAATCAAGAAGTTTGAGCATCAGCTGCTGTACAATGCGTGTCAGGTAAGGGTCCCTCCCCATCTCGGGGGATCTAGTCTTTGACGGTACCTCATGCGCCATTTTGCTGTCATTCTCTTTGCCTTTATACTGCCAGCTGGCCAGTGTAGAGGGGAAGCACACGTCCTGTAGGAAATCATATTCGTATTTGACTTTCAGATGCACAAGGGGTGAACGTTTTATGCAAACCGGCTTGTTGAGATTGTGCTGGATTGTCTGTGACCTGGGCACTGGTGTGAAGCTAATAAGGCTAAGCAATAACCAAATCCTACTACTCTCGCTCATGCCTGACCCCAACGGGACCACTCCATGAGTTAAGGGAGAAAGGATTTACTACTTAATAATGGGTTTTTTTCGCCTTCCTCTGCAGCGTGGGGCGCGGGTCACTTGCTGGAAGATTCTCTGCACCTTGAAGTCTTTAAACCATGATTTGAGGACTTCAATGGCTAAGACACAGGTTTGATACAGGAGTGGGTGGGTGAGATTCTGTTGCCTGCGTTGTGCAGGAAGTCAGACTAGGTGATCATAATGGTCCCTTCTGACCTTAAAGTCTATGATTCTAATCCTTGCTGCTTGTGGTACCACTGGCTGGGCAGGTAAGGGTCTCTGGGCTTCCACTCCATTCTTCCCCCTTTCTCAGTCCCCTCTGCCTGCCTGTAAAGGGACAGTGGGTGGTGAAGAGGGGGCAGGAATGCATGGTGGGGTATGGAGGGAGGTGAGATAAGAGGAGAAACAAATGGAATTGGAAGGAGATCACGCTTGTAGGCTTTAAATTCGAGTTCAGGCTGCTCTTTGTTCCTCTGTGTGAGAATTTGCTCTAGGAATGATTCTGGGGAAGTTCTATAGCCTCTGTTCTACCAGAGGCCGGACTACGTGATCACAGTGGTCCCTTCTGCCTTTAGAATCTATGAACCCTTTGAGGTTCACTGACCATAGTTTGCAGCTTTGCTGTGGTCCATCCAACTTGTAATTGCATCTCCTTTGTCTGAACCAGCCTGGTTTGATTAACTACGGCTTTGTCTTCACTGCTAAGAGGTGAGTTTTTACTGCAGGATAACTAACTCAGGTTCCCTATCCTTCTGTAAAATGCTAGTGGAGACAAGGCACCTGTAGTGTTTATCACGAGGTAACTAGGTGAGGTCAGCCACGGGCAAGGAACAGTGCTGTCCTCATCTAGCTACCTCGTGATAAACACTGCCTCGTCTCCGCTAGGATTGTACAGCAGGACAGCTAACGCATATTACTTATCTCCTGATTCCTCTGTCTTTTTGGCAGCGGAGACTTAACCTTAGATGGAATATTTAGGGATTCTCTGAATGCAGACTCTGCAACAGGGACCAATAGGACATTCACTACAGAGTAAAAATACCCTCCAAGCTGTTTCCAAGGAAGACTGAGATCTTGGCCTCTCTGCTGTATGGAGAACGAAATGATTTTATCACTTTCTCCCCTCGTTTTGTAATTTGTGCCCAGTAAAGATGAATTTTGCACCATTTTCTGTTCTCCTAGTTCAGATGATCTTGGCATTTCCATTTTCAAGACGGGGGTTATTTTCTGTGCCGTGTTTTCCCCTCCTGACTAAATTAATTCTCTCCTTTCCCCCCCTTTTTCATCTCTGTCATTTAAAAAAAAGAGAGAGAGAGTGAGAAATGTGTGACAATGAAAAAGGATCTAATCAGCATTACAGCTCTGGTTAATAACATGGCTTCTTGGCAGAGACTCTACCGAAGAAGGACTTAAGTAGCAAATGGGCAGGGCAACCCAAGCATATCCTGGTTCAGGGTGTGCTCTGCAGTCCCATGACCACAGGGCCGTAAATATGTAACCCAATAAAACTTGGCAGATTTCCTTTGTGTGCTGAAGTGCTTCTGACCACAAACTGCACCATGCTGCTGTAGCCAGACTGTAGGACATGTTGGTGTCTGCCTTAGCAGTTTAAAAAATGGCACAAATGATATGTGGTTTTCTGATTAGTCTTGAGATTGTCTCAAGGAGCAGGAAATGCTCCAGAAAATGGCAGAAAATGATTATTTTCACCGTGATAGGACCCATAGTGATGGGCCCTGGATTCTTTGTAAATTTCTATGGGTATCATCAATCCCTAAACTGTGTGTTTGTCTGTGGGTGTGATACAAAAGTTATTCCGTGCATTGTTAAGACACGTTTCTCAAGGAAAATAGTTTCTCAGATTGATCAGTAGTTGAGAGGCAAACTGAATTACCCAGACTGTTGTTTTTTCTTGCAGCAGTGTTCTCAGATACATCTGAACAATGGTTTTTCCTTGACCCGCAGTGTTGATCCATCGACCTTGGAAAGGGAGTTACTTTCCAAGTGACTTCAGCGTAAAGTTAGCTTGCCCAAATAGGAAGTTTAGCATTTGTTTTTATTACCCTGTATTTCCATTCATTCTAGCCTACTTTCTCTCCCTGAATAATCCCTGGTTGTTGTTTAGGAACACCACTTAATGCAGTCACTCTGGATTGATGGAGCAGATAGTTACTTGTAAAACAGGATTTCTGCCCAGAACCCACCTGCTAGGAGATGCAAAAAGCAGTGTGCTCTGTAGCATTTCCTAGAGCCTGAGAGTGACATCTGAACAAAGGTCCCTGCTCCAGCTGGATCGACGAGTGAAATTGCCAAGGTCATGCCCGAATCCCGTGTGGACAGCTTTACTCATATGCTTCCACTGCACAGCTAAACTATCTGAAATCATTATGGTCAACTCCACGCACTCAAAAATCTTGTCATGTCTCCCCCAACCCCCAAAACCGTGAGATTGGCTTAAAAATCTATAGAGCGAGACCATCAGAGAGCCATGCAAACACAGTCATTTAGTGCACCAGTGATCAGGCCAAAAAAAAGGGGGCGAGTTGGATTATAAACCCAAATGGCACATGATTTACCTCTGAACACCGGATACTGCCAATGGTGTCACTGCTGCACTAGCCGTAGGATCATCCAGTGGTTTGCCAGTTCCTGTTGTGGGTCAGACACCAGGGCTCCATTGTAGCCAACTGCCAGTCTGGCCCTTTGACACGTGTGGACACTGCAGACTGTCTGGAAGTCAGTCCTAAACCGGACTTAAATTGGGCAGGAGGCACCTTTAACTGAGACACTGACATTAGTCACCCTTACTCCTGCTTGCCCTACGTAGCAACAGCCAGTGAGGATGTACGCACCTCCGTTTGCATTAGCCACCCGGTTCCTGCCTGCACCTCATCCTCCAGCCCACCCTTGCCCAAGGCGCTTCTGTCACATGCACCGAAGTGTCAATTACCCTGCCGTCTCACCCACGGGCCCCAGGCGACTCTGTTGGCTACCTCTCATCATTGCTGCGCTACCCGAGGTGAGTGAAAGCCCATGATGTGTGACAGTCTTTCGGGGGTAAGGGGGTGTTAGTAGTAAGTAAGATATACTAACAGTGCTGTACCAATTGCAAATGGCTAGCGGAGCTCCTGTCTTGCATACAATATTCCCTGCAGTCAGCTTGTTAGTTTTACGGCTAGCAGGAAAGACTTTAATGCTCGGTTTGTTTCGTCCCTCCTTTGGAATCCTCACTGAAGAAGCAAAGCTGCAGTTAGGCTTTTGAGAGAGGTGTATTTTTAAAATTGAACATGCGAATGCTACTATGAGTTACTTTGCTGTTTGTAATATCTATATGGTAACCCTCGGAACTATACCAAGGGGGAAGGCACCTTATATAAAGCTCTACTTGGAAACCTCCAAGCTTGTAGCATAGGCCTTTTGCCTAAGGAGACTTTTCGTGGAGGCTTGGTTTAGTTTTTGATCCCTGTCTCTGTGACCAGACTGTGGAGAAAAGTAGACGTGCTTTTGGAGCCAAATTATCCTCTAAATTCAAGCGTTGTCTTTGGTAGGGATTTTAACTAGCTATCAGAATAGCTGCCTGAGGGCAAACTTCTAGTGTGCACAATCGCCACCAGGATAAACAGTGCAACAGTGCTTGAAACTGGGGAAAGCAGCACTGGTCCTCGTAATCAGGGTGGATCCCCAATTCAGACAACATCTTGTACTGGTGATTGCCTGGAGCCAGTCCCTTGCAGTCAGTGAAGATACAGCAGCACAAGCAGGGCCGGCTCCAGGGTTTTTGCCGCCCCAAGCGGCGAGGAAAAAAAAAAGAAGAAAAAAAAAGCCGCGATCGGCGGCAGCTCCACCGCGCCGCTTTCTTCTTCGGCGGCAATTTGGCGGCAGGTCCTTTCCTCCGAAAGGGACCGAGGGACCCACTGCCGAAGAGCCTGACGTGCCGCCCCTTCCCCTTGGCCGCCCCAAGCACCTGCTTACTGGGCTGGTGTCTGGAGCTGGCCCTGAGCACAAGTGAGGAGAAACAGTCTCCCAGGACAAAAATAAAACCACATGCATATTAGAATTCTTTTTGCTTGGATAGAAAGATCAGAATTGCCAGATTGGGTCAGCCCCATAGTCCATCTAGCCCAGTATCCTGTCTCTGACAGTGGTTCAAGGTTGGCTTAAGCCCTGAAGCAGGAGGGTTTCTCTCCTTTCCTGAACTCTTGTTTCTTTGTTAATGCTTCCTACTAAAAGTGTGGGTGTTCTTGTGGCCCATGGGAGACTTGGAAAGGCACAAGTGGGGGTTAAGTGCTTAGTTCCCATTGACTGTTGCTGGAAACCATGCACCCAAGTGCTTCTGGTGCCTCAGAAAGTCTCCCCCATGCAGCCTTCCTGAATGCTGCTGAGCTCATGTTTGTGTGTGATGTTTCGTTGTCGTTGTTGTTTTTTTTCAAGTTTGACCCCAATTAGAGAGAGAGAGAGACCTGCCAACATTTGAAAACTATAAATAGAGCCCTTCGGAGAGAGAACTGAGATACATCATGTAACACCACTGACATGCCTTGGGTTCAGGGAGTCTCTGGAGACAGAGTGAGGGAAAACGAAAGATGTTTTGCGTATCTAAATAAAGGGTGTATGTGCGAAGGTAATATTTATACTGTAGATCTGTTTCAGGTGGAATGGCCCTTTGCAATATGGACAAT